TATAAAAACGGGCTTATGTTAGTAATTCTCATCACCTCAACTACAGTTTCTTCTTTTGGAGCTAACGATTTCTCCACATCTTCTTTAAGTCGACGCAACATCATTGGCTTCAAAAGAAGTTGTAACTTATGGACTTCAGTTTCACTACTCAAATTACCAAATTCTTTTAGGAATGCTTCACTACTAGAAAACTGTACTGGTTCAAGGAAGTTCAATAATGAAAAAAGCTCATTGACATTATTTTGTAAAGGCGTGCCAGATAAAAGTACTCTATGTTCTAAATTCAATTGTCTGAGACCTTCAAGCAACTTGCAATTCCTATTTTTTAGCCTATGAGCTTCGTCTATAACACAAAGCCTCCAATTATACCCCCGCAATTCGTTAAAATCTGTTATAATTATCTCAAATGTAGTTATCAATACGTTAAATTTAATTAAATCTTTAATTTGTTGCCCTTTTTCACTCTTATAATAAACTTCATACTCTTGAAGCATAGTTCGACTTGCTGCACTGTAAATAAGAAATTACATAGCAAAAAATTCTTTATTCTCAAACACAAAAGTACAACAATTTGAACTTACGATCCATGATACACTACAACATTCATATCAGTCCAACTTTCAAATTCACGTTGCCAATTTGGAATGGTTGAAAGGGGTGCTATTATTAAAAATGGTCCACGAATTCCATACTTGTATACTGCATCCACAAATGTTAAAGATTGAATTGTCTTTCCTAAACCCATTTCATCCGCAAGAATACAGTTATGTCCGTTGTACCACGAAAAGAGTAACCAATTAAGACCTTCCAGTTGATATGGTCGTAAACTGTTATTACTTTTATAAATTGGTGATTCTTCTAATTTCACCCAAGCTGATGCATTTGGTTTCTTTTTTGGCTAAACAGAAGATTACTTATTATATAATAACTACTTTCAGACATAATTATATTATATACCTGCAATATATTACCTTCCATTGATCTTTAGGGGGTACTTTATTAAATTTTATAAATTGGGCTATTTTTTCTGGATCGACATCTTCTTCCAATTCCCAAGTCGAATCCTCGTATTGAAGAGACCGCCATTTAACCAGATAATGTTTTAATGTTTCCCCAGTTGTAGGATCAGTATGTGTTGCCTCATCAAGCACTCTATCAACTTCCACAAAATCTGGATTGAATGGATCATCTTCAGTCTGAAAAAATCCCAGAAACTCGTTTTTATTATTCACGTATACGTTTCTAATATTACCAATTGACTCACTAACAAATAAAAAAAATATCTAGTAATTGCTGTTAGGAAAACATTTCAAATGAATTATATCGAATAATCCAAGTGTAGCTGGTAAGCTGTTAATAATCCTAAACAATTGTATAGTATATAATTATATATCCATAATTACATTTTCAAAGATGTTAGTATTTTGTTGTTGTCTTTGTTTAAATCTTTTCAACTTGGCTTGAATTCGTTTATCGCCCTTGTATAATTCCTCTTCAGTTCTCCATTCACAATGCAAATATGAAAAATTTCTATATTTAACAAAATATTCCTCAACTTCTATTATTTGAGGCTTCACATCTACCACAACATTTTCTTGTTTAGAATCTGTAAGTGCTCCTTCATGTTTACTTTTGTCTTTTACAGCACTGTCACTGTTACTTTTATCTTCAAAGCTTTCAGTATCTTTCACATCCTTATTACTTGTTTCTGAGATTGATTCCTTTTCGGAAGTTTCTTCCTTGGTCTCAGTCTCTTCTTCCTTATCCTTTGTTGTATCAGATGTACTGTTTTCATTTTTTTCATCAGATGTTTCTGTTTTTACTTCTGGGATTGTTGGTTTAATTTCTCTTTTTCCCATGCGAGAGCATAGTATATGTTGTACAACCATGGAATCTTCATCTGTTGTATTCTACAGTAAATAAAAATTGTTTTTTAAAACTGTTTAATTAGAATTTAAATATGTTAATAATATGCTATTATGTGATACATACTATGTATACAAAGTTAGGCTTGTTAGGTCCAACTTCACCACCTTCATTATCTTTTTTAACAGAAACAGGTTTTGTTGTGTTTGTGCCTTCTACTTTCTTAGAAAGTTGAGAATCCTGAAGAGGTACATCATCATCTGAAAATCTAAGCATTACATCATCGACGTATTTCTTACGATGTGTATTTCTTGCAGAACGTCTTTTATTATCATCTCCTGCTTCTGGTGATGGCGGAGGCGTTGCTGCCAATTCTTCACCATCAGAATCCGGGGCAATCCGACTTTTTCGCTTTCTATTGTAATTTTGTAAAACATCGAAAATAAATTAAACATATGTTAAAAGATGAATAGGATGTCAAATTGTGCCCATAATGCAAAACTATAATATTTTAAAACAACATACTTTGAACTTCTAGGAGACTTTCCTAACGAAACTTTTCCAACTGATCTTTTACGAGCAGCAGCTTTCTTCTTATTAGGTGTAGCAGTTTCTACAGTTGTTCCAGCATCCGAATTTTCTTCTTTCTTTTCGTCTGGCGGGCTATCTTCTGATTCCCCTTTTTGCTTATTTTGATCTTTTGTTTCAGCTACTAAAGGCTCAGTAGTTGAAGAATGTACTTGTTCTTGATCACCTTGAATGGACGGTTCAGATGGTTTTGTATCAACTTCTTTAACTGCACTTGAATCAGAGACAGCAGTTTCTTCTGTTTCTTGTACAACTTCATCATCAGCTGATTCAGAGTGATTTGTTTTTCTGTAAAAATAGAATGTATTCAATGAAATAATTACTTTTCCAAAGAAACGAATTACGAGACAACATTTATGAGATAACTTACTTTCTATTACGTTTTGTTGAATCTTTATCTTTATTCCTCTTTCTTGGTGCTTTAGGAGACTTTGCTTCCTTTGGTGGTTTTGGTTCTTTTTTAACTTTTGGCTCTTTTGGTTCTTTCGGCTCTCTCGGCTCCTTTGGTTTACGTGGTTTTCTAGGAGGAGGTCGCGATTTCCTACCTTTATTCCACTCTTCCTCCATATCACCAGAAGATGGCTTAATATCTTCAGAATCAGCGGCGCTATCAACTACATTACTACTGTCTCCAGGTGTTACTTGATTGTCTGACAATGGTTGCTCTGGCTGTTGCTGAGTAATTGGTGCAGGAGCAACTGCTTCTTTATCAGCTTTCTTCCTACTCTTTTTAGCTCTGGGTGTACCTTTACTACGACCACGACCAGTTGTACTTGAAACCTATTTACGAAAAATTTTTTTTAAATTTTGTGTACAATATTTAAAACAAAAGTAAAACGCATTTGTGACTTACCTGTGGACTATCAACAACAGCTGCTGTAAACATTGGACTTTGTAATATACATTGAGGTCCACCATTACATTGATCATTACTTTCATGTTGTTGCAGAGCTTGTAACTTTTCTTGTATAGAAACAATTTTTTCTTGATTCTCAGTAGCTGGAGGCATACAGAATAACTCTTGCAATTGCTGTTGTAATGCAGCTCTCTCTTGGTGGTGTGTAACTGGAGCACAGGAAGTACTAAAGCCACCAGATGTAACTGCTGTTGATGTTGGATTTGGTGGCATATTATACATATTTGGCATAGTACTACCACTAATGATATCACCACCAGAAGGATATTGTTGACCAGAACCCACTAACATCTCATTTGGATACATGTTATTTTTTTGAATATTCGTATATTCTGTGAAATTTTGTTGTACTTGATGTGGAGTTTGTGAATTTGGCACTGATACTGCAGTTTGATGAGATGATAATACTACATTACTGCTTTGATTAACTGTAGGAATTTGTTGGCCATTTAAATGTGCAGATGGAACTTGATTAGTTTGACTTTGCAATGAGGAGGCTGGATTTGGTAAGGGAGCTTGTAACTGTGATATTTGAGATGAAATTAATGGAGCATTTTGGGGCATTATACCAACTTGTGGACTCATATGTGGTTGAGGCTGCTGTGTTGGCTGAACCTGAGTTATACAAGTTGGAGCTGGTTGAGATGGTTGTGGTTGGACTAACTGAGATTGAGAAATTTGTGGCTGTGACTGTTGTGTTTGACTTAATGTAGGTTGCTGGGACTGAGTAATTGATGCTTGTTGTTGAGTATTTATTTGTTGCAGCTGTTGTTGTGAAGGTGGTTGTTGACCAATTTGAGGTTGTTGCACTTGACTCATTTGTGGTTGTTGTGATGACTGCAAAGATTGTTGTGATGACTGCAAAGATTGTTGTGACTGTACTGGAGACTGTTGTGTTGGCACTACTTGCGGCTGATTCATATGAATTTGCTGTACTGGTTGTTGTGGACAACTGATAGACTGCTGTTGTGCTGCCTGATTGCTAACTGCAGGTTGTTGAGAAAGTGCAGTTGTACTATTATTGGTTGGACAATTCACTGGATTTATTTCTAAATGTTGATCATTCTGTTTTTTATCACATGTATTCTGATTTTCAATGGTAGAAACAGGATTCTGAACCTGATTTTGAGTTATTTGCTGTTGAGGTAATGTTGACATATTTGAACAATCAACATCTCCATTTGTACTAGAAGTTGGTAAAGACTGTACAGTTTCTTGGGAAATTTTTCCAGGTGTATGTTCCAAAGGCGAATTGCTTTGTGAATTATTTTGTAACAAAGTATCAGCTTGTTGACTAAGCACATCTTGCGGTTCTTGCACATTCTGATGCAATGATTCATTTTCTTGTTTTGAAGGTTCAATTGTGTTATGAACAGGATCTGTTGAATCTCTAGATGTAGTTTCTGCAACACTATGAATAGTTTCTGTTCCAGTTACTGGAAATATTGATGGACTTTGTTCAGATACTGGGGGTTGAGTTTCTACTACATTTCTATCTTCAATCACGTTTGGCCTTATTTGTTGCTGCTGCTGCTGTTGTTGTGGATGCGACCATTGAGTTGGCATTGGCATTCTAGGACCTGTTATAGGTGGCATAGAATTTTGTGCGGTAGACTGAGATAAAACGTTTGTTGCTTGTGACATAGGTGGACGTGCCTGAAATTGATTATAATCCTGACTTGAAACATTTGAATTTGGTACAGCAACACCAGGGATAACCATTTGTTCCAATGCTTGAAGAGTAGTTTGTTGTGATGCTGGATTCATTTGCATTGAAGTTGGAGGGCAGGGTGATACAGACATTGCAGCAGGTTGATTTGATTGTTGATGTGGAAGTTGAACATGTGGATGTGGAGATAATGTATTAGATTTAGCTGGTGACATAATAGGTCTGGGAGACATTTGTTGTTGTACTGCTGGTGGTCGTGGTGACATCTGAGGTCTAGGTGACATTTGAGGAGACAATTGTGGAAAAGTTGCACGATATTGAGGACTTGTGGCATGTTTGGTTGTACCAAACTGTGTTGTTGGTCCAGAATGTTGGGGTTGATTAAACATTGAAGTTGCATGATGAGAATATTGAGAATCTATTGGTTGTTGTTGTTGTTGTTGTTGTTGTGTATTAGGATGTTGCGTATGTTGAGGATACTGTTGAGGAAGTGAAGGATGTGTTTGATGAGTTGGATGATGATGTGGCATCCTCTGAGGTGGTTGTTGAGTTTGTTGCTGTTGTTGCTGCTGCTGCTGTTGATGAATAGCTGAGGCAAAACCTGGATAGCCAGGAGATGTTTGATACATTGTAACAGAACTTCCTTGCTGATAATGTTGCTGTTGCCCAACCATATGTTGATAAACACTACCTGTTGTGCCAGCTTGCATTGTTTGATGTGGTACACCCATATTCCCTATCATATTTTGCTGATTACCAAAGTGTTGTTGTTGCTGTTGTAATTTTTGATTCATAACTCCACTTTGATCTTGTTGGTGAGAATACTGTGGAGGTATATGTTGTCGATAAGTAGCAGGTTGTGGTGCCATCTGATTATAATGTCTTTGCATTTGTGGATAAGCACCTCCACTACCTGGCCAACCTTGCATACTTGGATCTATAGACATATTTGCTCTAGTCATTGAATGCTGTTGTTCCATTGAATACATATTATCACTATAGTTAGGATATTGTCCTCCACTACCAGGATGAGGCCCTCTATGTTGTGGTGCCATATTTCGAGCTTGATTTTGAAATGCTCCTGGCACCATAGCACGCTGTGGTGCACCATTGTCAAATGTTCCAAGATTTTGATTAAACATATTGCGTTGTGATGGATTTTGCAATTGATTAGAACTTCCAAATTCAGATCCGCCAAATGAAGTTAATTTTTGAAGCGGAGATTCTTGAGATATATAAGATTGACTAATGTAACTCCCTCCTCCATTAACGCCAGGGTTTGGACCATCTCTAGATACTACCACAGAATTAGTTGTGCCTGCAGGGTCAAAATGATCGTTCCCCCCGAGGTCAGGAAGAGCATCAAGCATCGAGCCACTAACATCTTCACCAAACAAATCGTACGAGTCCATGTCTATGCTGCAGGACTCTTCGCCTCTATTTCAGGCTTAAGAGAATATCGTATAGCCTCTCTTTTAGTCATTAACGTGCCCATTGTTAATCCACGTCTTTTTTGCCTGAAACAATGTTCATAAAAACTTATATTATGACTGTATAAAGAATGTATTTTCATAATTTTATGTAAATTTTAATATTCTAAATTTTTTAC